AGTGGTGTGTGTGTGTGGCCAGCTCAGCCCACCAGGGGGCGGGGCTGGCTGGCATGTGGTGCTGGGGGATTGAACCGCGGTCCCTGATGCTTAGCTAAGCTTGTTCTAAGTAGGTGCTTTAGACCACTGAGCCATCTCTCCAGCCCTCTCCCTTTCTTTTTGTGGTACCAGTGATCAAATTCAGGACCTTTTCTCATAAAAAAAGCTCAGATCAGGCTGGCCATGGTAGTGTGACAGTCCTGGAGCATTGTCTGGGGATTGATTCACCTTCTGATCATTCCCTTGCTGTTCCTAGTTTGTGATCTTTTTTCTTGTGATAGCAGCTAAAGCTGTGGGCATCACAGCTTCTTTGAAGCTACAGCAAGGTGGAGAGGAAGAGGGACATTTCTTCTCCCTCTTCATGGCACTTCACTCACATCGCACCACCTAATGCCTGTTCCCTTGGCCATGTCCAGTTGCAAGGAAGCTGAGGAAATGTCCTTTACTTGGATGATAACGTGTTTGGCTTGTTTGGCTAACAGCTTGGTTCCTTTACACTACAGAGAAAGGGAGACTGCATTCTGAGCGGTAGCCAGCCACTAAGTCAAATAACTCATGTGTCACAAGGCAAGGTAAATGCCTTGCTTTGTGCTGCCCTGAGAACCTTGTTGGCTGTAGAGTACTGTGCCACCTGTTGGGGCACACAACCTAGAAGGCTTTGTGTGTGCAGGTGGGATCTCTGCATAGGTCTTCTTATGGAATTGGTTCTTGCTGCTCACCTTTCTCTGGAAGGATATATCCTTCTGCACATTGTTCTGTGCTTGAGAATGTGTTCATCCCCTCCCCTAGGTATATCCTTTCTGGTAAGCGCAGTAGTTGGGTTCTTTTGGCCCTCAGCTCAGGAGGCAGCTGAGAACTTAGTCAGTAGCCATAGTCTGTGTCTGGTAGGTAGAACAAACCTAGGAGGCCTCCCTTGTTTTTGAACCTAGACACAGGTCTCATGCCAGTTTCTGGGTTGGTGCTTTGAGGTTCTGTCCCCTTCCCCATACTCCCTTCAGGCACATCTGTGGTGAGAAGACAGGAGAAAACTGAGTGGTATCAGAGAATTTGCTCAGCCCCTGCAGTAAGACTCCATCAGCCCCACTCTACATGTTCCCTCTCTCACTTCTACTCTGGTGTGGAGACTGCTGACTCATACCAAACCAGTGAGAAAGTCCAGACATAGAACAAGAGCCAAGTTTAGAAGAGAAATCTTAATTTTTTTTTTTTTTCAATTTCAAATTCTATTTATTCATGTCAGGCATATAAGAAAGACATAGACATATACACTAATATTGTTTCTGTCAACCATAATAAATACATGGTTAATTCCTA